CGTGGTGGGCGCGCGCGGAGTTCAGGTGAACCAGACTTCCTGTGGCGGAGCGGAAAGGCCGGTTCATCGTCCCCTCGCCCTCGCTGGATGTTCGAAAGCGATAACCACTCGCCCCAGAGCTCTTACTTGACGGCGGCGTGCCCACGACTGACTCCGTCCTCGACCGCCGCTGCAGCCCCGTCTGGCTCGGCGGCAAGTTGCCCAGGTGGCGCCGCGTCGTGATGAACGGCATCGGGTTGGAGCCCGACGACTGGCTCTTACTCCGGGGCCGAAACTCTGCGAAAGCTTTCAGCGCCTTCATCGTCTCCAAGATGGTCTCGTGCATGTTTTGGGCCACGACGGAATCGTCCACCTGCATCCAAATCTCCCCGGGCCCGATGGAGGAGGAGCGACCCACCTCGATGAAAAAGAAGCTTTCCGAATGCCCGCAGCGTCTGATGTTCATCAGCTGAAGGTTAACACAGGGGGTTTCAGAGTTCAACTTAACGAGGTGAATGGTTTTAGTCGAGAGGCAAAGCCGGTAAACACCTGTGAGGTTTTTAGTTTGACCCAGTCCTTTAGGTTTCACATTCACCTGCCACACCTCTTTGAACACAGTGCCGGGGGTGACCGTACCGTATCCATCATCTAAATCATCTGAATCCAAATGCCCTTTTTTGCCCTCACTCATCAACTCACTGACAGCTATGTACCAGTCCTCTTGCTCCTGCTCGTTTTCCGCCACAATGGCAAAGTACTCGTCCTTAGTATAAAGGGCAATGAGGTGTTTGTTTTTGGAATCCGCCCTTTTGTTTACCGTGAAGCACTGGTAGAGGTAAATAACCCTTTTCGGGGGAGAAGGGGCGACCGCTCCGCCGCTGGCGGCGGCCGCGGCAGCGGAGCGGAGGCTGTTCCTGAATTTCTTCTCGCTGTCGTAGTACTCCAGGCGGCTCGGCCCGAGGTGGCTGGCAGCCCGGAGCACGAAAAACCTCTTGTGTCCGTGTTTCTGCTTCCTCAAATAGCCACATTTGCGAATATCATCCACAGCGTCGGAGGCGTTGGCGACGTTCACCGCCGCGTATACATGACTGCCGCTACCGCTGCCGCTGCCGCTACTGCTGCTACCNNCCAGCGGCTGCGGCGGCGGAGGAAGCGGCGGGGTCCTCGGCGGCGTGTACCTGGCTGAGAGACGAGGAGGAGGCGGCTTTCCTGCCCGGAGACTCCGCGGTGTTTTCTCCGGAAAGATGCTGCGGAGCCAGCTGGTAGTGATGCTGCTGTTGTGGATCCTTTGGCGGGTGATGGTGGCTGAGGTGTTGATGGTTGGAGGGCGGTAAATGTTGGTGGAAACGAGAGCCGCCGCCGCCGATATTAATTAACGGGGAAGGGGGTTCCCCGACCGAGCCGTCTCCGTTCGCGGTGGATTTAGTCCCCACGTCCCTCTGCTGCGTCTCCACCATCAACATCGCTGCCTTACCTTCCTGGTAATTCGTGAAATTTGCCATCAGAGAAACACAATCAAAAGGTCACTTCACTAGCGAGCTAATCCGAGTGGACCTAGACCCCATTCTTGTTGTGGGAGACGAGCTCCCGAGTCCGGCTAGGCCAGCTAACGTTGACTCGCACAGCTCAGATTTTTTTTTTTTTTTTATTGTTTTTTCAGCGGACCAGGCTTTTTGTTGTTCGGCGTTAAATAACATAAAAAACAAAGTCTCCGCCGTTTATGTAGACAGCGGAGGCATGACCACTCCGATGCGGGCATCGATTTTTTTTTTTTTTTTTGTGTTGCCTCTTCACGAAATGAAGCCTACCGTGTGCAACATGACCACGTTCGAGTCCGTGTTTTTCTATAATCGGGAGGATCCGGTTAGCTCGGTTAGCAATCCGTCCCCTTCTCCTGCCGTACACATCTCTACGGGCCGGAGCACAAACAACACATGACCCGCCGCGTCACCCGCCGAACGGGAGGAACAAAGGGCCAACGGCGCGCTCCGATTGGTCCGTCCGTTTGACTGACAGCTCTTGACGGGCGTCGCGGCCAATCGCTGTGGGATATTAGTGCCTTGCGTCAATAAGCGGCGGCCAATCGCGTCGCGCAGAGTTTAACTGAAGTTAGAAGAAGAAAAAAAAAAAAAAGGGGGAAAGAATACGGCGGGACTAATTTTTTAACGCTGGTCTGCGATCAGTTGTTAGGGTTTTTTTACAAAAGACTGTCATTGATTAGGGGTGAAAACGATCCCGTCTGTAGATGCAAGTCGAACTCTTCCGAACGCTGATGAGCACTTGAGTCAAAGTATATTAATATTTTTTTTGTCATTTATTTCAAAGAACAAATCTTATTCATAAATTATAAGTAAATACAACATAAAAACATTATTTAAATCAATTAAGTTTGTTTTTATTTCAATGTACTATATTTCTGTGATTTACTATACATCTATATATATATTTTTTTGTGTGTGATTTATATATGTTGTGTATTGTATATTTTCTTTACAGCACAATTTTCAGCACCAAGACAAATATCGACGTATGTGTAAAAATTATAAAAAGGATCCTGATTCCTCTCTTATATAAAACCTGCCCAGGTGACAAGTGCTGACTATTTTTGCCATGCATTATCTATTTTATTCTCATTATCTTTCTCAATGCATGACTCGTGAATAAAAATTAGGCATATTATCTGATGTAAGTTGAATTACATGCATTAGAATGGTGATTGCTCGCTAATTTCTAACATAAATTTTTCCCTCCGCGCAATCCTTGAAGCGTGTGGCCGTAACATTCCTAAACCACTCCAAAAGATAAAAATTAAACTTATCTATAGAGCCACTCATCTTCCATCGACCAAATAACATTTTTTATTATCATTATTGAAGCAACCGTCGGTCGATTTAATAGGCCCGCCACCCCCCCCAAAAAAAAACCATTGTATCGTCATATATTGGATCTATTGACTCTCATTTTTGTTTCCACTTTGAATTAACACAAAACGTATTAAAAAATAATGTAAACACTACTCAAAATATTAAAATACACTAAAACTAATACACTTTTTAAAGACTGATAGTGCAGATGAAAATAGAACATCTGTAAAAAGCCAAACTGTGCATTTGTCCCTCCTTAAAATAAATAAACAGAACTAATACAAGGGGATAATAGGAGAATGTATATTAAAATAAACGTAACATTTCTAAGTTAAATGCAACTTTTAAAATTTAACTTATAAAAATCTTAGATCTGACATATTAGTACTTCATAAGTAATTCAACTCAGGGTTTTTTGACCCGTCAACAATTAGATTTGATGTATGTTGCTTTGTAGCCTTTATACCTTCTCATCAGACAAGCTTATACCTCTCCATTTACCCCCCTATGTTTTTACTCATCTTTCACCTGTAGATAAAAGCTTCTTATCGAATTTTTATAACCCCCACGGAATACCTAACCCCCCCCCCACCCCCCCCAAACGTTGGACCCTCTTCCTGCAAGGCCTGAGGATTTACTAAAACACATTTCCTTGCCCCAGTCTGCCAGTGAGAACCCACCTGGTGAATGTTGGGTGCACGGCCCAGACACAGTGTACAGCAAGGGTCAAGCCAGCTGGGGTACCACACGGCCTGCACCCTCTTTTCGGCTAAAACCAACACACCCCCCTGCTTTGGCACCAAGGATGAATTCAGTCAGAATCAAAATCCAGTTTGTTTATCACTACATGTGCCATCTACGCATCTGCCACCAACAACAGGAACTCCTCTTAATTTCCGAAGCCGTGAATATTGCTTTTTTTAATCCATGGCAAGGCTTCATGCTGCAACTAACATTAATTAAGAGAAGCATGCATCCGTGCAGACAGCAGAGATTCGAATCAAGCCCAGCTGTGGTTTTTCCCATGGGAACACTTTAGATGGGAGTACTTGGAGGATGGACTCCCCCCCTCTGCCCAGGGGAGCTATATATGGTGTACTTCCACCGCAAATCGAGAAGCCACGCTCAGTCGTTCCGAGCCTACTACTACACATCACATTATACATGCAACATTCTGCTGGACGCATTTATCCCAAACACCTTTCCGTACCTTCATGATGACAATCATGTGTAAGCTCTCTGGCCCAGTGTTACCATAGGCTAAAGGGAACAGTACCCCTAATAACACGCCCTGGCAAAAGTTGGTGCCATGTTTAGTTTACTAGTGGTGGGAGGACTCCCGAAGCAGGAACCACCTGTCTGTGTCAACCTCATGAAACAATGAATTCCACCCCCTCCGCCCAGAATATTATAAAAATAGAACAAATAAACACAGGGGGGTGGGGGGTGGGTGGAAAAAAAAAAAAGAGACCCAGGAGGAATCAGTCTCACGTATCGTTATTTGCCCTATTTATACTCACTCTGATTTCTAGATCCATAAGAACGTCTGTATGTATTTTTATCTATCTTCCTATTTGTATTAATATTATAATGATGAATTTTACAAATTAATACGAAGATCACTATTCTCTATTACTAATATATACTAAATATGCGGAGAATTAGGAATACTGAATACAATTTAAGTGTACAAAACAAGTCTCAAACAATAGATATTCAAGGATGATATTAAATGTTGAGACAACGAGCCCACTCACATGCCCACTACCTCTGGCTATCTACGAGGGATCAACCGACCTCCCAAACAGACTGACTCACTATTGACCGTCCCACAATGCTCCTCATGCTAATTCGTACGCTATGTCCCTAGATACACAGACCAGACATAACCCGGGACCTCGCAGGCAGGACCAATTGGCCCGATCCCGAAATATAATTTTATAATGCTTGAACCAAGTCTCGATCCAGAGACACCATCGTCCACG